AGCGAAGGTGTGTTCTAGAGAACAAAGGGTGGGCCCCAGGGGTTTATAGCAAAAGTTCCTGCCCAGATTCCCAAGCAGGTCCGGTTATGCAAATGAAACATTGAAAGTTGCATGGTTCTGATTGGTTGATGCAGCTGAGCCTGGATTGGTCGATTTCCAAGCCCCAAACTAGAAGTCTCTGGCCAGTGGGTCAGCTGGCCAGTGGGTCAGATGGTTGGTGGGGATGGGGTTTCCAGCTGCAGTTTATCTTTGCACCAACAAGAACAGGGTTGCCTTGATCATAGAAAGGGACGCCCTGTGATACTTTTACAGCATCTTTCTGAGAACAGAGTACATGACTGCTCCCACTCGCGGCCATGGCCACCTGCTTCTGTTTTAACTTTGAGCACCTCCATTAGCCATGGGGAGTTTTATCTGTCAGCCAGGGGCATACATTAACACCACAGAACATCACATAGGACCACTACATTAATGACAACATGCTGGTAGCTGGTAAATAAGAAACACCAAGTTCCCTGGTTGTTTTGAGAGACATATACTTGCCAGGTTATGGGAGATAAATTTCATAAAAATTCAGGAATGTGCTACTCCATAAAGTTTCTGGGGTTCAAAATTTAGGGTATAGCACACAAAAATGAAAGTCACATTGTTGTACCATGCTTGATGGCTCTTTTCAGATTTAGAGGAAACATAACACATTCGATTATACTACCATGACCATTTACCAAGTAACCCATAAAGGTGCCAGCTTCGTGTGGGCCACAGAGCAAAAGAAGGCTCCGTAGTAGGCCAAGGATGCTGTGAGAAGCTCTGCCACTGGGCCTTCATGACTTGTTAGATCTGTGGCTGACTGAGAGCCTCGTGGAGCCTGTGGCCAGCCCCAATATAAGAACCACAGCTACGGCCTCTGAGGCTTCTACACAAAGCCATGCCCTTTCAGAAGGCAAATGTCCTCTTGAGAAACGGCTCCTGGCTTATTGTTGGCCCCAGCAGAGATGGAATGTCCAGCCACAGTAAAACTGGTGGCCTTGCAGTTGAGGTGCTCATCATGAAGGAGGGATTGTCAGCCAGCATTAAGGTGTATGCAAGAGTGCTCCATGATCAGATGGAAGTTATATGTAGTTGATAAACTTAGCAGATCCAATACATACAAGAATATCACATGGCTCATACATGTGTCTGTTCCCTCCACATTTCCATCCCTTCTTCAATCCATGCCCATGGCTTAAGACACATTCCATATGACCAGATGACTGAAAAGGTAAAAGCTAGAGCCTGGTTTTTAGACAGTTCTGCACAATATGTAGGCATGAGATGCAAATAGACTATAATAACCACAAAGAGGTTGTCCTACAGAACAGGGAAGAAAAGGAATCTCTCCCAGTGGGCAGACTTTTAAGGGTTTGTGTGATGCTCCACTTTGTTTCAAAAGACAGATGCCCTGGGGTATGCATCTTCTAGGACTTATGGGCAGTGGCTAATGGTTCATGCAGTCTTAGAAGGAACAAGATTGGAGGATCGGTGACAGGTGTGTTTGAGAGGAGGCAATGTGATGGATCTCTCGGAATAAACAGCGTGAGCCTACATTCCTGGGCTCAAGCCATCCTCCTGCCTCAGCCTCCCAGGTAGCTGGAACTACAGGCATCTGCCACAGCATCCAGCAACACTTATTCTACATATAGATTTGTTTTCTGTGGTGGGCTGAATTGTGTCTCCCCAAAATTCATGTGCCGAAGCCCTAAGCCCCAGTACCTCAGAATGTGGTTATATTTGGAGATATGGACTTTAAAGAGGTGACTCATTTAAAATGAGGCCATTAGGGTGGTCCCTAATCCAGTCTAATCACTATAAGACTCATTGGTGATCTTATTATAAGAGGACATTTGGACACAAAAAGAGACATCAGGGATGCATGAGCACAGAGGAAAGGCCACGTGAGGGCACAGGAAGAAGGAAACCGTCTGCAAGCCAAGCACAGAGGCCTCGGAAGAAACCAAACCTGCCTAATCTTGGACTTCTAGCTTCCAGACCATGACAAAATAAGTGTCCATTATTTAAGCCATTCAGTCTGTGGGATTTTGTTACGGCAACCCAGGGCAAAGTAATACATCTTCCTTGCCCACTGTATTTCTGAAAACCACATAATTCATGAACTTACAGAATGCCTTATTCAGAATTTTGACACCTGCACAGCAGTGCTTCTGACCAGGGAACTCGAGTGTGGCAAAAGAACTGTGGCGATGGGCTCATGTGCATCACATTCACTGGCTGTCCCGTGTATTCCATCATCCAAATGCAACTGGCCTTATAGAATGAATAAATGACCCACTGAAGTTATGGCGCCAGGGTGGAGACCACATCTGGTGAGGTTGGGGTGCTGCCCTACAAAAGGTAGAACATGCTTTAAGTTAAGACTTCTGTGTCACCCCAAGAAACAAGAGGTAAAAATGGGGTTATCTCCTCTCATAAGGGCACCTGGTGAATCACTTGCTAAACGTTTGCTTTCTGTGACTTTGGGCTCTCCTGGCTCAAAGTCTCTGAACCAATGGAAGAAATATTTTTACCAAAGGACACAACAATGGGTCCATTGAATTGGAACCTGAGACTCCCACCTAGACATTTGAGATTTATCATGCCCTGTTGGACAAAGTGACTGATCCGGATTATCAAAGTGGACTGCTGTCACCATGTGGGCATAAAGAACTATTTCTGTAAACCAGCAGAGTCTCTGGGGCACCTCTAAAATTGCCTTGTCCGATGATAAAAGTGGATAGAAGGTAACTTTTACCCCATACAGGCAGAGCCATGAAGTATTCAGATCCCCCAGGAATGAGGTTTGGGTCACCCCACCAGATAAAGAATCGTGGCCAGCTGACTCACTTGCTGAGGACAAAGGGAACGTGAGCGGGCAGAGGAAGGGCATTGTTAATGCCAACTACAGCCTCGTGACCCGTTGCAAAAATAAGCTGTGTGGCACAGACATACGCTATCCTCATTTTCTTCTTTGCTTACTGTGCCATGTATGTATTTGTATACATTTAATTTTATTCTTTATTTCTTCTTGCTTTTCTCTACAATTTTATATTGTCTATGTGAGTGGTAGTCAACCTTACAGTTTATCCACAGGCTACAGAATACCAAGCAATGAACATCACCCAGAACACCTGAACTTGGGTCTGGACACAGCAACTAATGAAGCTTTGGGTCCTCCCTTTGGAGCAGTGCGTTTTCCTTTGTACAAGTGATGGTTGTGTGACATTAGGCAAGCACAGGTTACTGTTACTGTTATGGTGACAAGCATGAACATAGGGTACACACTGACGTTACACAGCAAACGGGTGGACTGCAGTGACATCTCTAATTTTTGAGCACTTCCACATTGCAAATCCCACCTTTCCAAGATATAATCTAAAAACTACATTTCCCAGCCTCCCTTTTCAGTAGAGTATAGACATAAAACTAGCTTCCTTCAAGCAGAGGCATCTGCACAAGACAGAAAGCCTAAGGGACAATAACGAGGTCAAAAGCAAGAACAGTGACTTCAAGCAAGTGTGGGGTCTTAGGCGGTTTTGCCCGAGCTGTAGCAGAAGTTCAGCGCAGCGAGGGTCCAGTCTGTGCTTTTGTAGGGGTTGAGCAGCAGGCCACAGCATCTTCAGGATTTTCAGATGATGAAATAACGTCATCAGTATTTTGCTATATCCACCTGCATTTCCAGACTTTGCTTTCCTCTGCATTATATTTCTTCTCAAGTAGGTTTTCTCCCTCATGGTGGCTCCTGAAAGCTCCAAATCCAGTGGGAAGAGTTTCTCTTTCCAATAATCAAAACAAAAAAAAAGGTCCCTGGATTGAAGTTCATTAACCCAGGTCGGGTCACATGTTCATCTCTGAATCAATTGCCAGGGCTGGTAACATGCGTACCCTGAGCAGCGGGACGCGGGTGGAGTTTGAAGGGAAGAATGGATCCCTCCCAAGTATTTCACTACCCAACAGCAACTGCCCTGTTAGAATGGAGGAACAACCTACTGAAGTTACGCCACAAGTGCAGAGACAGCACCTGACGAGGTTGAGGTGGAGCCCTACAAAACATCGCATGTGCTTTAAATGAGCAACCACTAACTTAAGGGTAGTTCTCAAGCCCGGATCAGGATGTTAGCAAAGGAAAAGAAAACGGATGGTGGGCAGGCAGAAACAACAGCTGCCCACTGCACGGGACGGACGTTTGGCTCCTCCCTCGGCTGCCAATAGGATGGTGACTCAGGCTGCAGTCGAGTCCCGGATTCCTCTTTCCTTGCGACCCTGGCAACATGTGCAGTTTGCTGGACTGAAATTCACAAGGTCTGGTTTCCAATTCTGATGTCTGTGAAGTTAAGAATCTGTCCCTTAACTTTTGTGGGCCTCCATCCCCTTTTTCTGCTGAATGAAGAACTAATGAAGCCTGCAGAGTGAACAGTCCACAAGATAAAACTCATAAAACTGCTTTGAAATCTGCAAAGCACTTTACTGGAACATCTTTACTGCTCCAAGGAAACCAGGGATGACCGAGCCTCGCTCATCCCCTTGACGACAGGGAAATGCTGGGGAAACTGAGGTAGATGGACGACGGTAAGACAGGTGGAGTTTAGGCTGCAACCACCGTCACATGCCCTTCTCCACACAGATGGGACTGGTCTACCTCTTTCTAGGCTAATCAAAATTTTCTGAGCTCTTCCCCTTCCCCGGATAAGAGTAAAAATAGCCAGAAAGCTGTGACCAAAGGCTTAAACTGTAAATATGTTTGACACGGAATTCCTCACCGAGACAATTTTTTCTAGGAAAGTGATTGAATAGGAAAGCAAGGATTCCTACAGAAAGAAATTCATTGCAGCAATTATTGGGATAACAAAAGTTTGAAAGCAACTGCCGCCCCGCAATAAAGGATTGATCACATAATTACACAAATTGCGGTATTATCTCTTTAGCAGCATACCAAGAGTAAAATGAGTAAAGTGATTAGACAGATATTATACAAAAAGGTCCAGGATTTAATAAATGAAAAGAACATGTACAATATGATCTTGTTTTTGTCATTCAGTCATATAGATGCATCCACGTGCATAAGGAAATATTGAAAAGAGATACAGTAGAGTTATGTCATGCACGCGATTCAACTGCTCCGAGTTCAACTTGTACACTCCGCAAGGTGCGGGTCGGGGGCAGGAAGAGAAAGAGAGACAGAGAGAGAACAACTTAAATAGTGCAGGAGATCCGACCCGGCACTCACTGAGCACGAGAGAGATGGGGACACAAGGCTGCTGAGATTTCAGTCCCTCTCAGTTCTCATCTGCCTCCCAGAATGGGAGCATTTGCCCCATTCCACGCTGGCTATGGTGCTAATGCGTCAAGATGTGTATTTTTCATACCACCTGTCCCCTAAATGCAAGCCAACTACTTTTCCTAGGGGCTCGACCAACCAACCAGAGATCGCCAAGTCCAAGCCCAGGAGAAAGTGGCTGAGTCGAATGGACTGGGAGACGGCGTGTCCCGTCCTGTCACGGCACGTTCGTGCGGCATCACCCTGCGTAGTTGTCCTCTTTATGCCTGTAGATCCTGGCCTGTGCCCGTGGCCCACAAGACGCTCCTGCCCAACAAGCGTGGACAGCGGTGATCTCTAGGTGAAGCTGCTGCTTTTTTCGTCATGACAATCTGTATCTTCTAATTTCCTAAAACGAACATGTATCACGTAATAAATTTTTAAGGAACACGTAAGAACCCCTGTTCTAGTGGGTACTTGTCTGAGCACCCCCTAGAAAGTTCCACTCAGGGATCCCAGCTCTGCCAGCCCCAGGGCAGCTTCCTGTCCGGACTCTGCAGCGAGTCTGCTCTCTCCCTTCCCTCTCTGCGCTTATCAGCGAGGATCGCGGTGATAGCATTAGGCCCGGCCTGCGGCGCTGGGTGGCTGCAGGGCCCAGGGTGCCAGGCAGCCCGGGGCCAGCTCAGCCCATCGCTGCCGGGCTCCATCAGCCCTTGTTAGTCCTCATTACCAGCCCCAGCCCAGACAGGCTGCCTCCACGCTGGGCCCTTGATTTTTCTATTTTGAGAGGGTTACTCGGGCCAAATCAGCAAATCAAGTTATGGCCCTGACGTCTTAGGTTTGCAGCGCTCTGACAGCGCCCCCGCCCCCGCTGCCACCCTCAGTCCCCACGAGCTAGAGAGGGTCCCTCACACACACACACACACACACATGCTCACATGCTCACACACTCATACGTGCTCACACCCCCACAGGCTCACACATGCTCACACATGCTCACACACTCACACACGCTCACATGCTCACACACTCACACGTGCTCACACATGCTCACACACTCACACATGTTCACACGTGCTCACACACTCACACATGCTCACATGCTCACACACACGTGCTCACATGCTCACACACTCATGCTCACATGCTCACACACTCACACGTGCTCACATGCTCACACACTCATACGTGCTCACACATGCTCACACCCCCACAGGCTCACACATGCTCACACATGCTCACATGCTCACACACTCATACATGCTCACACATGCTCACACCCCCACAGGCTCACACATGCTCCACACTCCACACATGCTACCATGCTCCACATCAACATGCTTCACATGCTCCACACTACACGTGCTCACACATGCTCACACATGCTCCACACACTCACACATGCTCACACATGCTCACACATGCTCACCACACTCACCGGCTCACACATGTCAACCCCCACCAGGGCTCACACATGTCAAGCACATGCTCACCACACTCAACATGCTCCATGCTCACCACACTCACACATGTCACTGCTCACACCACTCACACATGCTCACACATGCTCACACACTCCACACATGCTCACACGTGCTCACACACTCACACATGCTCACATGCTCACACGCTCACACACTCACACGTGCTCACACATGCTCACACACTCACACATGTTCACACGTGCTCACACACTCACACATGCTCACATGCTCACACACTCACACATGCTCACATGCTCACACACTCACACATGCTCACACATGCTCACACACTCACACATGCTCACATGCTCACACACTCACACGTGCTCACACATGCTCACACCCCACAGGCTCACAGACACTCCCAAGAACAAGCATCCTCAATCACAGTGACCCTGAACACCCACACCCAGGGGTCCTCAGGGGTCACGAGAGACCCAGACCACTCACAGGTTTGAGGTTTTCCAGCATGTTCAAGAATGAGAAATTGCTACAACCACGTTCCGAAATTTGTAGCTGTTTTAAATGTTTACACTTAACAAATTACCACCGTATATTTAAATGCAATATAATTGTGTTATCCACAGAATAATTACGGGATTTATGAACTATTAATTCTCGGGGTGCGGCAGGCAGTGCGCCTCGGTAATGCGACATGCTTAGAGCCGGATGATGAATGTCCTCCCCTCGCCATCCTGGCAGCTAATCTCCGGGACGGCGCGTGTGACCTCACTTGGGGACGGTATCGAGAGCCCACATTGGAGGCCCCCTGTGAGAGTGAGGCCCAGCGAGTGACTCCTGTCAACCCTGCACGCACACACGCTGGCGACGCCCCAGTGTGCACGGCGACCCCAGCACCCACCCCACCTGCCAGGGGAAAAGCCAGTGTCCTGGGTCTCACCAGCAACCCTGGCCACCTTCCGGCAGTCACTGGGATGCCTCAGGGCTGGGACGGACCCTCTGTGCCGTCTGGCCCAGCCCCTCTCAGAACAGGGGCTTCTCCTGTAACCCTCTGACGGTTGCCACCCCGCCTTGGCTCAAGCCCTTTCAGATCCTTCCTGACTCGGCAGCCTGGACCAGTTCCAACGGGAAGCAAGGTGAAGTCGGCCGTCCCAGAACGTCCACACATGAGCATCCTCCTCTTCTTCTCAGAGCTGCCCCGGGGCAGGAAACGAACGGTCACCACCCTGCTCTTCTCTGGGACAAAGGGATTCTGCTCTATCCACCTGTACCTGGAAAGGATCTCGCATGCGCGCACACAGCTACTCACACGCATCTACACACTCACATACTCACACCCGCACGCGTACACGCACACTTTAAAAGACTGGCTTCTAGGGCAAGACCCTGACCTTCAGAAGCAAACAAGCCAGAGTCTGAAGCCTTCTTCCCTTCCTTATTAGTGGCGGTTTGCCAAAGTCATCTGGCCTCTGTAAGCATTGGTTTTCCCTGTCTTTAAAGTGGATCCAAAATTAAAATCTGCCTCATAAGTCACTGGTAGGATCTACTGAGATATTTGTACGAGCTCCAAGCAAGTGCCCAGCACGTGGTTTCCTTCCTATCCTCCTGTGCTTTTGGGAAATGCATGGACCGACCACAACCTGGGCCACTCCCACCCAGGGCTGCCACCAAATCAGACACCCAAGCAGAAGGTGAGGTCACCACCATCCTCAGCCTGGCTGGGCATTCGAAACCCCATTGCCACACCGGGCAAAGTAGGGTGCTGGACCCTGCCCACCTCACCTGCCCCCCATTCGCCCCCACTCCTTCCCCGTGGCCTGTGTTCAGCTCTCAGCCCCTGGTGTCTCCCTAGGCCTCACTCTGCTGTCTCTGATCAGCAGGTCTCCCCGGCCACCTCCCAGTTTCCTCCCACCACCAGGTCAGGAAGGCTTCCTGGAGGAGGAGAGTCCAGGGCTCATTCTGGAGGGATGGGCTGCATCGCCCTCATCTGCCTGACTCCTATTCCCCCGTCCACACTAGTGCACACGTCTTCTCCCCCAGAAAGCCTGCCCTGGTCCCTCCCCTCGGGCTAGTTTAGACGCTGCGTCAGTCACTCTCCTTCGTTCTAATTGCAATGAGCGCTTTGGGGACTGGGGTCGACGTACACACCAGGAGATGGGGTGCACTCAAGCTAGGTCACTCAGAAGAGTTTAACAGAAGGGCAGTTCTCAAGGGGGTTAGCAGGGTTCGGGCAAACCAAAAAGAGCTCCGCACATGGGACCAGGAACAGGGCAGCCTTAACCAGCGTGGGCCTCCCCGTGACAACGGGCGGAGCAGCTGGGGAACCGGGAGTTGACCTGGCTGGATGGAGGCAAAACAGCAGGGCTTGGGTGGCTGGTGTCACGTGTCAGAATGCTATCAGAATAATAATGTTTGTTTAACGGCAATATTCTAATCAACACTTTTAGTGGATGTTTTAACATGTTTATACCTATTTTGTATTTGAAAGGTATTACGATTTTAGCTTCACTGATTATTTTTAAATGATTTTTAAATACTTAATTTAAAAAAAAAACAGTATTAATGCTAGCACTTCAGCATCCCATAAAATAAGTACTCAAATAGAGCATCATCATTTTGCTGTGATATTGAAAATCAGCACTGTTTTGATGGTAAGTGATAGGAAACCCAGCTCAAACTGGCTTAAGCAAGAAGGGCAGTTGCTACCTCACATGTCTGAAAATTGCAGGGAGTGGCCAGCTGCAGGCCCGGGCTGCTGCAAGGGCTTAGCCAATGTCACCAGGACCTGGGTGGCTCCTCCCTTAGCCTGACTCAGTTCTCCTCCATGAGTCACTTTTATCCTCAGACGGGCAGGGCCTCATCGTGGCAGGGCCTGCAGCAGCTCTGGACCTCATACCCACTGGACTTCACAGCCAGCGGGGAGGAGCCCCTGTCCCAGAAGCCCGCTGAAGCCCTGGGGCCTCGTTGGCTCTGGCAGCGTGCTGTGCCCACCGCTACCGCAGTCTCTGCGTCCTGGGCCGTGAGCCTGCATCTCCCTTGCACCCGTGGGGGGAGCAGCCCTCTCTGAAACTGGAAAGGAAGTTCCGCAAAGCATAAGAAACTACCCCAGGAAGAGAGAGCTGATGCTGGGTGACAAAACAGCAGACGCCCTCTTCAGATGTGCCCCTCTGTGCTTCCCTGGAGTCCTAGACCTCCCTCTTTAGTGACCCCATTCACGCTGGGGTTTTTCTTTTATTTGTTTTTTTTTTCTTTTTTTTTAGAGACAGGGCCTCCCTCTGTTGCCTAGGCTAGTGCAGTGGAATCATAACCTCAAACTCCTGGGCTCAGGCCATCCTCCTGCCTCAGCCTCCTGAGTAGCTGGGACTACGGGCGTGCACCACCATGCGCATGTAATTTTTAAATTTTTTTGTAGAGACAGGGTCTCACTGTGTTGCCCAGGCTGATCTCCAACTCCTGGCCTCAACTCAAGCGATCCTCCTGCCTCAGCCTCCCAAAGTGCTAGGATTGCAGGTGTGAACCACTGAACTTACCTAGCCCATTCACACTATAAAAAAAAAAAAGGCCTTAGATTTAAATTCCTGCAGAACAGGAACCACTATGTGTTATCAATCACTAGGCAATGCCTGGGATTCCACTGTTGCTCCATAACTTTTTGTAGAGTGAACATATGATTAGAAGTTCCGTGTGAGGGTGGCTGGCCTGGGGCTGCTCTGTCTGACGGGCTGCTGGGACAACACCCTTTAGTTGCCTTCTGCGTTCTGAATGTGGATGTCAAAGTGCCAAGGATTGCCTGGAAAGCTTTTGAAAACCTAGGTCTCCCAGCCCCACCCCCAGAGACTCTGATTCAAGAGGCCTGGGTGGGGCGTAAGACTTTGCATTTCCAGCAAGTTCCCAACTACTGCTGCGGCTACAGGTCCCCGGCCGGCCGCACTTAAGTAGCGCTGCTCCAGGGACCCCACAGGAGAGCATGGGGGGAGCATCGCGCTGGCCACGAGTCAGGCCACCCGTCAGGATGAAGCTACCGTACTCCAAACAGCGCGCCAGTGACTGCGGCACGGACCGAGCATTTTCAAATGGCTTTGCTCAATGGGGCTCATAAGGAAAGGACTAGAATTTTCAGAACTATCTGGCAAAAGCGTTATTCAATTAAAGTGATTTGATTTTTAAAGGTATTTGTCCCTTTGTGAAGGCAAAAGCCATGCTTTTCTAATTAAAGGCGAATTACCGGCTAATATGCAGGTCTTGCTACTCCTGGCATAGGGAGACGGAGGGAGACGGAGCGTCCTGCGGCTGGCACTTCTCGCCGTCCCTCCGGGGCCTGCAGAACGAGGCTCACCCCCAGCGACCTCACTCATGCAGCAAGCATCTTACGCATTTTTTGAAAGAGGGATTTAAGAACGTACGTAAGCCTGACCACGTCACTCTCCTGCTAAGACCCTTGAAAGGCTCCTGATTGCGCAGGACGAAGTACAAACTCTTTGACCTGTCGTCTGAGTCCTAACAGGCCCCTCCCCACCTCCCGGCCCCACGTCCTCCCCATTGCTCCCTGACTTGGGCCGGCAGCACCGGCTTCTCTACGTCGGCTGCCTTCGAGCACCAAATGCGCTAGGGACTGAATTGTCAAAATGCACAGGTTGAAGCCCTAACCCCAAATGTGACCGTTTTTTAGAGAAAGGCTCTTTGGGAAGTAATTAAGGTGAAATGAGGGGCTTTAAGCCAATAGGACTGATGTCGTTAGAAGAAGAGGAAGAGACACCAAGGGCACACGCTTACAGGGAAAAGGCCACGTGAAGACACGGCGAGCAGGCAGCGATCTGCAAACCAGAGAGAGAAAGAGGCTTCGCCCAAAACCAACCCTGCTGGCACCTTGATCTTGGACTTCCAGCCTCCAGAACTACGAGAAAACAAACTTCTCTTGCCTAAGCCACCCCGTCTGTGTGTGGTATCTTGTGACAGCAGCCTTGCAGAGACACACTCAGAGTCCCTTCCTGCCTGAGAGCCCTCACACATGCTGTTCCCTCCTCCTGAAAGACCTTGCCCCCCTCCCGCTCTCTGGCAGGTGCATTCCCACTCATCCTTCAGGCCTCGCTGAAATGTCACCTCCCCGCAGAGACCTTGTCCATCGCTCCCTCAGTGCATTCTTCCCCTTTGGAGAGCCCATCAATGAATCAGATTTCAGATTCCAGAAACACCCAAATACAGGTGAAAAATAAAGCTCATGGTCAACGCAACATTATGAATAAGCAGAACAAAGGATACAGGATGCAATAAATGATGTAGGGGCTGAACTGGGTTTCCAGTTGGAAAAAAAAAAAAAGTTTGATCACAACCTTATCATTTACAACAAAATAAATCCCTGATGGAAGAAAGTTTTAAATGTATAGAATAAAACTTCAAAAGTACTGGAAGAAGGTTTACCTTCTTGGAGTAGGAAAGGCCTTTTTAAACGTATGATTCAGGCTGGGCACAGCGGCTCATGCCTATAATATCAGCACTTTGGGAGGCTGAGACAGGAGGATCACTTGAGGCCAAGAATTTAAGACCAGCCTGTGCAACGTAACAAAACCCCATCTCTACAAAAAATTTCAAAAGTAGCCAGGTATGGTGGTATGTGCCTTTGGTACCAGCTACTTGGGAGGCTGAGGCAGGAGGATCGCTTGAGCCCAGGAGTTGGAGGCTGCAGTGAGCTGTGATGACTCCACTGCACTCCAGCCTGAGCAACAGAGCAAGACCTCATCTCTGCATAAATAAATAAATCTCAGAAACTCTTATAGAAAAGATAGATTATACTAACTTTACAAAAATAAGTTTTCTTTATGACAAAAAACAATAAACAGGGTCATAAGAAGAGTAACAAACTGAGGGAAATATTTACAGTACATATTACAGACAAAAGGCTAATTTCTATAATATATAAAGAACTTCTACAAAATCCCTAAGCTCGATAGTCCGGACAGGAAAATGTGGGAAAGATAAAATAGTTAACAGTAGCTGAAATAAAATGGATATTTTAAACACGTAAAAAGATTTGCAAATTAAAATGAGATGCCATTTTTACCTATTACATTGGCCAAGTTGACAAAGCTTAATAACAGATTGTTGGCAAGAGCGAAGAAACGGACACTCTTCATTCATGGGCGTTCTCAAGGCACGTCACCTTCAGGAGGCAATCAACCACAATATTTAAAGTGTGCAGTCTTGCATCCAGCACCAGAAAATTATCCTATGGATATGCTTGCACATACCTCAAATGAATATGTATAAGAATATTCATGGTGATATTGTTAAAAATTTTAAAGACTAGAAACAACCTAAGTACCCTTCAATACGGGCAGCTGAAACAGTTTGTGTACAGCCCGGCCAACTGAATATTGCACAGCCTTTAAAATGAATGAGGCACCTCTACGAACTGATGGGAGCGTGCGCTAAGATATATTGTTATGCGGAAAAGCAAGCTAGTGAAGAGGACGCATACCATGCTAAATGTGTTTAAAAATAAAAGAATATGCATGCATATACTTATATGTGCATTGATTAACTCTGGAGAGAAACGTAAAGGACTGGTAACCAAGGCTGCCTTCCAGGAAGGGAAGGGAGACTTCTTTTTCACTGCATAATCCTCTGTAACTTCTGAATTTTATATGTACTATGTACCCAAAATGAATTTTTGATTAAGAATAAATGAATTAAAAGCCATTTCACAGTGGGGAAAATACCAAAAGGGGAAAAAAAAAAAGCAATAACAAAATGTTACCAGTGATTGTGTGGTGGTACTAGGAGTACCTTTACTTTTTCTTTGTATTTTTCTATATTTAATCCTATTTCTTTCATGAGCATGTACTGATTTAAAACGGAGAAAAGAATGGTTTGTAAACAGCATTGGCAGAGTCACTAATCAGCATCTTTCCTGTTGAGCCGCATGCGTTCTCAGCTAGATACGGCATGAAATCCCCCAACCACAGCTGCTAACCCCAGCCGGCCCCGCAAAGACCCTCCGAGCCTCCGCACGTGGCTTTGAGGACCCAGGTCCTCCCAGCTGCTTCCTGGGTCCCACTCCAAGCAAGGCTGGGGCTGGACCTGTGCTTAAATGACAGCAGAGCCCCAACTCCAAGAGGAGGGGAAGAGGCACCGTGGGTCCCTGCAGACTTGCAAAGACCCCAAAATCCAGTTCGCATCTGAACAGCGCCCTGGAGCCTGCCAAAAGCATCTTATACAACATTTTATTTGATTCTCGCAACTGCCGTGAGACGTAGCTCTGCTGATTTTCCCCTTTTGAGAGCCAATGAAACTGATCTTCCGAGGGAGAAAGCGACCCGTCCAAGCTCACACAGCTACATGAGCTGGGGTCGGGAGTTCCATCCGGATCTTCTCACTCCAAATGCTAAGCCCTTTCCACTTAATTAAGTTGCTGTGGCAGACACTAACTAAATTCACCAGAACTGAGCTCCGCTTTTCCCTGGGCACACAGCTGGGTGACATTTCCCTGCCTTGCTTACAATTAAGTGTGGTCGCTGAATCCATCGTGCCTTTTTAGCCTGGTGCTTTGACACCGAGGACCTCACTGACCCGGGGAAACTGCCCCTCCCAGCGCTGGCAGACTTCTGGAGACAGTGACCGGCTCTGCCAAGAGCACATCTTTCATGAGCAAAGTAGCCAATCCAAAGCCCACGCCCTCAACGTCCGCTCCGATACCCAGGACACCATTGCCCTGCCCTAACCACTGGGGGCCAGGCCTCAGACAACGAGGGGCAGCTCCTCACCAAGCCCCCTTATTCACACCAACCAACCCTAAACCCGCTCACCCTGCCTCGTCCCTTCCTTCTCCAGACAACTGGAATTAAGATGTTCCCCACCGCTGCCCGCACTCCGTCCACCTCCTAACTGACCTGGCACTTCCACACGTGGCCCTGCATGAGATACAAGTGCCCCCTCCTATCGGGAACTGTCACTACTAGCAAACTATCTTGTCAACGGCAGTCGCCCCCGATCTGTTGGCCTCACTATACCCGAATAACCACAAAACCTGCATTTTAAAATAGTGGAGAGGCTGAATTTCTAGCCAGAGGACTGTGAGCAGAATCGCAAGATGCCACTTCCAGGGCCGGCCCATGAAAGCCTCCTGTGCAGGTTTCTCTCTCTCTCTCTCCCCCTCAGCTGGGTATAGAATATTTGCAGGTTGTAGGGGATGGCGAAGCTATGAAATGAAAGGAGACTGGGTGCTTGAATTGCTATATGGAAACCACCTGCCAAACACCCATATCACACCCATATCTGAGCAAAGAGTAAATCTCTGTCACATTCAGATATTGCAATCTTGAATTTCTCTGCTGCACCAATTGGACTACCCTGACTAATTCGGGTGTCAAAACATATCTTTGGTTACTTCCACCCCCTCCCATAGCCCTGCCTGTCTCTCAGACTCCTGTTCCCCTGCCTCTCCATTCTCCCAGGGCCTCAGGGCTCTATAGCTCCCCGTGGATTGACTAAGGCCCCTCAGAAGAGCATCCTGTTATATTCAGTATATTTTCCTGAATTTAACCCCACAAATGTCTCCTAAGCACCTACCAGGTGCAGGGCACAGAACAGGATGTGAGACAAAGGTCCCAGGCCTATGGGAGGGCTGGGTACCAGCTGTGGGAGGTCAGGAGCTAGGCTGAGTCCAGGGGACAGGGGGCTGAATCAGGGAGCATCTGCCTGCTCGTGTGAGACTCTCCCATCGCTAGGTATGCAGGTTTCAACATCAGAAGAACAGAAGGGGAAGGAGGAGAGACAGAATGAGATTGCAATTATTAATAATTGAAACTCAATGAACCAGGACAAGACTGATTAGGGGCCCCAGGGAGCATTTTGAGAACCTCAGGTCAGGCAAAGGGGAGGCCCTAAGGGCTCTCAAAGGGCAGGTGGGACCATGGAGACAGGCAGCACTCATGTTCCACCCGGTTTTGAAGACACTAGAGCTATTTGCTTTCTGTCCCTAAAGCTAAGCTTTCGTTATGGACACCCAGAAATAGCTGGAGGCTCACCTCTTGCCAGTGTCCCTTCCCGGGTGGGGCTCATTTGTGTGGGTGTCTACAGCTCTGGTCTTGGGCCTCAGGCCATGGGGCTGCTGAATGCTCCCCTGTCACTGTCACGCAGCCTGGGTGGCACATGGACGCATTCAGCAAACGTGCAGGGTGTGCTGTGAGGAGCTGGGGGACAGCACGTGTAAGACACTGTGTTAGTCAAGGTCTACTCGGCTGCAAGGAACAGAAACCCTCCTCAAAGTAACTCGATTAACAGAGGGTTGTTTTACTGAAAGGCTACTAGGGAAACTCAAGGGAATACCGAACAGGAAGTGAAGGTAATTCTCACAGGAGCTGGAAAGTCGCCCTGGCTTCTCTCTCCCCCATCTCTGGGTTGCACAATCATGTGTCCAGTTCTCCCTGAAGAGTGGCTTCATCTAGGTACAGTTCTGGTTCATCCATAACAGGCTTGTCATGGGCTTCCATGGGCCAAGCTGACCCAGCTCGGACTCCACAGGGCCTCCTGACTCAGCCTCCCAGCTTCCCCGCTCATTCCTTAAGGTCTTAATTTCAAATTCCTGGGAGAATTGATGTGGCCAAGGAACTGATCAGATTAGGTCATAAGTCCACTCCCGGTCTAATCAGCATGGGACAGGGAACTGCCCCTCCCAGTGACTGGCAGCCCTGTCAGGTGCCTAATTGGAGAACGTGGGCAGACATGCAAACTCACTCAACACAGCCACCGCAGACCGGCCCCGGCTCTCTGAAAGCTCACAGTCTACTGGGTTAGCTTGCCTTCTAGTAAGCTCACCAAAGAGAAATGGGAGCGAGGCATTTCCCAGAGAGAAATGATGAGTCCAAAGGAGGATGCCCTATGGCAGCTCAGGAACTCAACGGGGTCCCTGTGGAGGCAACGCAGCCCCACCCTGTGTCTCCCACTGACCACCTGAGGTTTGCTCCACCTGAGCGTGTAGCCCAAGGCAAGCTCTCCACCCCCAGCTTGTCATCAGAACCTCCTGTTGGACTCTCATGTGAGCAGAATGCAAACTTAGAGGTGACTTCAGGACCCAGACCAAACAATACCATCCCTGCTCCCTAGGAGCTTATGTGCCAACACAGACCACACTGGTTTAAAAGCACCTGAGCTTTGCAATGCAAAAATATGGAATATAAACCAAACTTGTCCCATGGAGGCAGAAGGAGGGCTGGACCAGAAATGCAGAGATCTGGTTGCTCACTCTTACCTAGAAACTAGCTCACCAAGTGAACCAGCTCAGTCACTTCCTCTTTCTGCACCTAGACGACCTCTATGGTCTACCCTTCCAGCTCTTATCTTCCTTGGCTGAGGGACACCTTGGACAGGGTTAGTGGGGTGCTATGTAAAGGGGAAGATGGTTCACACTTTTTCCTACTTAGAAAATATTCTCTGGATGAGGTCAGTTTCCAGGACTGGTTAAAAGAGGGAAGGGAGAGGGCAGTGGACTACATTGGAAAGAGTTTTGAAGCCTGGTGCCACTTGGGAGAAATGGCTGGGTCACTGACGTAGGACAGGTACATCTGGCTGAGCAGCAGTCTGGTGTCCTGTTGAAATATTTTAGTCCTGATGTTGCTTCATGGTCTTCAGTAGGTCGTGGTTATGCATATGGAGGAGCTGGAGTAGTCGGGGAAGCTGTAAGGTGAATTATTTGTTTTGTGTGGACTTCTCTATCAGGTCTCCAAGGAGCCTACTGGAGGATTTCTCAGGGCATCCTGGTGTAAGTTAGGAGCATTTCTGTCATAAAGCACAGAAACTCCACCCAAATTGTCTTAAGCCAAATGAGAAGTAAGTGCCACATGTAGCTGAAAAGTTCAGAGGTAGGGCTGGCTTCAGACATGGCTGGATGCCTCGTTCTTCATCTCTAAGGTCTGCTTTCCCTCCATAGGACCCATTCTCAGATAGGCTCTCCTGATGTCACCATGAGATGACTGCAGTTCAACCACAGATTTAAGTCCTACAAGAAAGTGTGAGTCTGCTTCCCCATTACTCAAAGAAGCAAAAATCCCAGAATTGAATCTCATTGGCTCTGACTGGCCTGACTTATGTGCTAGTTCCTAAACCAATCACTGCCAGCAGGAGAATGAAATGCAAGTATTGTACAAACCTGAGCCTTATGCT